CACAGTGGGAGGTGGTCCCCCCATGGTGACTCCCACAGTGGGAGGAGGTCCCCCCATGGTGACTCCCACAGTGGGAGGAGGTCCCCCCATGGTGACTCCCACAGTGGGAGGAGGTCCCCCCATGGTGACTCCCACAGTGGGAGGAGGTCCCACCATGGTGACTCCCACAGTGGGAGGAGGTCCCCCCATGGTGACTCCCACAGTGGGAGGTGGTCCCCCCATGGTGACTCCCACAGTGGGAGGTGGTCCCCCCATGGTGACTCCCACAGTGGGAGGTGGTCCCCCCATGGTGACTCCCACAGTGGGAGGTGGTCCCATGGTGTGGGCCCAAAGGGTGTGAAATATACGAATATTTTAGCATATTAAAACTTTGGAATTTGCTCTCATTATTTCCCTAAAAGAGAAGTGAAGGTAGAGGAACGACTATGCCGGACTTGGCGCGAGGGAATATACCATGGTATAGGGAATATGTTAGGGGAACTATTTCATGTTAGGGGGAAGTATAAGGAAGTATGGGGGACATATTGAATGTTTTTTGAACTACGTCCCTGAGCCCATTATGTGCCTCTGTAACCCTTTAAACTACCGCCCACAAGAGGGGTATGGGGTGCATAATAAATGAACTAAACTAACTTAACTTTTATACTATGGCTCACGTTAGGGCGAAATATATCAGGATAGGGAAACTATATGGACGCAGGTTCGAATCCTCTAGATGCTCCCGGACGCAGGTTCGAATCCTCGTCACGGCTCTTGTGGATTTGTTCAGGGAAACTATACTTTGTTAGGGAAAATATAACATGTTATATAAACTATTCCATGTTAGGGGAAATATATACAATATTAGGGGAACTATTCCATGTTAGGGAAATATTTTAAGGGAAAGTATAAGATAAGTATGAGGGGGGGGGGGAAATAAGAAAATGAGGAACATAAAAGTAATCAAAACATAAATCTTTTCTTTCTTAACAAACAAACAAAAATTGTTTATGTAACCATTACAAAAAAAGTCATACAAATATAATTCAATGCTTATGAATGTCTCAGTTATAATTTCGCCTAAAGGCTACGCCTTACACAAATTATTTTACGAATTAACTAAAAAAAAAAATTACTTATTTTTCATTAAAACACGATTTTAAAACTAAAAATTAAAACCCAAACAGTTTGTGATTTTAAGTCGAACGTCAGAGCCACTTAACATAGAAAATGGCATGGAATAATAGGCCAATAATAATAGGAATAAAAATGGCATGGAATAATAGGCCAATAATAATAGGAATAAAAATGGCATGGAATAATAGGCCAATAATAATAGGAATAAAAATGGCATGGAATAATAGGCCAATAATAATAGGAATAAAAATGGCATGGAATAATAGGCCAATAATAATAGGAATAAAAATGGCATGGAATAATAGGCCAATAATAATAGGAATAAGAGAGATAATAAACACGAATAAAAAAATAATGAGGGTTACAATTAGTAAATCAGAAATAGTGAGAAATGAGAAGGAAAAGGCAGATGGATAATGAGGAAGAGAATGGAGAACAATTAGATGAGAGTGGTATATACAAAATGGGGAAATGCAATAAGAAATTACATTATTATATTAAGCAATAAGGAATTGCATTATTACATTAAGGAATAAGGAATTACATTAAGGAATTACATTAAGGAATAAGGAATCACATTAAGGAATAAGGAATTACAGTAAGGAATAAGGAATTACAGTAAGCAATAAGGAATTACATCATTACATTAAGCAATAAGGAATTACATTATTACATTAAGGAATAAGGAATTACATTATTACATTAAGCAATAAGGAATTACATTATTACATTAAGCAATAAGGAATTACATTATTACATTAAGCAATAAGGAATTACATTATTACATTAAGCAATAAGGAATCACATTATTACATTAAGCAATAAGGAATTACATCATTACATTAAGCAATAAGGAATTACATTATTACATTAAGCAATAAGGAATTACATTATTACATTAAGCAATAAGGAATTACATCATTACATTAAGCAATAAGGAATTACATTATTACATTAAGGAATAAGGAATTACATCATTATATTCAGCAATAAGGAATTACATTATTACAGTAAGCAATAAGGAATTACATTATTACATTAAGCAATAAGGAATTACATTATTACATTAAGCAATAAGGAATTACATTATTACATTAAGCAATAAGGAATTACATTATTACATTAAGCAATAAGGAATTACATCATTACATTAAGCAATAAGGAATTACATTATTACATTAAGCAATAAGGAATTACATTATTACATTAAGCAATAAGGAATTACATTAAGCAATAAGGAATTACATTATTACATTAAGCAATAAGGAATTACATTATTACATTAAGCAATAAGGAATTACATCATTACATTAAGCAATAAGGAATTACATTATTACATTAAGCAATAAGGAATTACATTATTACATTAAGCAATAAGGAATTACATTATTACATTAAGCAATAAGGAATTACATTATTACATTAAGCAATAAGGAATTGCATTATTACATTAAGGAATAAGGAATTACATTAAGGAATAAGGAATTACATTAAGGAATAAGGAATTACATTAAGGAATAAGGAATCACATTAAGGAAAAAGGAATTACATTAAGGAATAAGGAATTACATTATTACATTAAGGAATAAGGAATTGCATTAAGCAATAAGGAATTACATTAGCAATAAGGAATTACATTATTACATTAAGCAATAAGGAATTACATTATTACATTAAGCAATAAGGAATTACATTATTACATTAAGCAATAAGGAATTACATTAGCAATAAGGAATCTGAGGATTGTATAGTTTTACCAAACAGGAAGTTGTATTAAATTAGGGGAAAAATTTGTTACAATGAAAAATATTAAAAACTCAAAACAAAAAATTGTCTTGAGAAGAACATTAGAGAGGAAATAAAGTGGTGCTAACTGGGGGAGGGAAAAAAGTAGCGAGGGGCATAAAGTAGTGGTTGTGTCGGAAGGGGGGGGGGGGGAGATGGGGGGGGGTATTAGCGAAGGAAAAATGAGATTGATATTAGTGAGGACATATATATATATAGCGGTGGTAAGGGGAAATAATATAGGTACGGGCAGTAAGTGGAGGGAATAAAAGGGGGGTGGGTAGGGGGGAGGAGGAGCACCATATAGATGGGATACAATTAAGAGGAGAAAAATAATGGTAGAGGAATATAATAGTGGGAGAGATTAATGTAAATAGAAGAATTGGGAGTAAATGGGGAGGGAATGCAAGACATGGGGGAATTGAGAAAGGGGAGGGGGGAGGGGAAAGGGGAGGAGGGGGGGGTAGAGAGCGAGCGTGAGTGATGGGGGGGGGGAGGGGAGGGGAGGGGATGGGGGAGGGGAGGGGATGGGGGGAGGGGAGGGGGGAAGGGGCATAAGGGGCGTGCAAGTGATGGGAAAGATATTGGTCACAGCGGGGAACCCGCAGCCATTTCCTGTAACTCCTAAACCTATTCTCCATCCCTCCCCCCACCCTCCCCTCTGCCTCCCACTACCATCGCAACCACTACCACCACCCACCAACACCCTACTACCACCACCACTACCATCACGACTACCACCACTACCACCACATTACAGCTGAAGAAAGTTCCGGATGCCACCTCTATCCAAAATCATTAGGAAAGCTTCGACAAAGAATTTGTTTAAGCGTTTGGTTCCCTAGTCTATCCTGCCCTCAGGTTCTCTAGTCTATCCTGCCCTCAGGTTCCCTAGTCTATCCTGCCCTCAGGTTCTCTAGTCTATCCTGCCCTCAGGTTCGCTAGTCTATCCTGCCCTCAGGTTCTCTAGTCTATCCTGCCCTCAGGTTCCCTAGTCTATCCTGCCCTCAGGTTCTCTAGTCTATCCTGCCCTCAGGTTCCCTAGTCTATCCTGCCCTCAGGTTCTCTAGTCTATCCTGCCCTCAGGTTCTCTAGTCTATCCTGCCCTCAGGTTCCCTAGTCTATCCTGCCCTCAGGTTCCCTAGTCTATCCTGCCCTCAGGTTCTCTAGTCTATCCTGCCCTCAGGTTCCCTAGTCTATCCTGCCCTCAGGTTCCCTAGTCTATCCTGCCCTCAGGTTCTCTAGTCTATCCTGCCCTCAGGTTCTCTAGTCTATCCTGCCCTCAGGTTCTCTAGTCTATCCTGCCCTCAGGTTCTCTAGTCTATCCTGCCCTCAGGTTCTCTAGTCTATCCTGCCCTCAGGTTCTCTAGTCTATCCTGCCCTCAGGTTCTCTAGTCTATCCTGCCCTCAGGTTCTCTAGTCTATCCTGCCCTCAGGTTCTCTAGTCTATCCTGCCCTCAGGTTCTCTAGTCTATCCTGCCCTCTGGTTCCCCTAGTCTATCCTGCCCTCAGGTCTGTGAAGGGCAAGCATAGGGAACTTTCAGAAAATATTGCTGGAATTTCTTTCCTAGAAGAGTCAATGAAATTTCCCCGCCTCTAGTTTCTCCCTCGTCGTTGCTCTGTAGTCTTAGAAATTTTCCCCGTTATTTCTCCAGATATTTTCCTACCATTCAGAAATCTTTTTGGCCTTAAAAGATTTCCCCTACAGTCGAACACTTTGTCCCCTCAAACTTCAATGCTACCAAGAAATTTTCATTCCAAAGTTTACTGCCATCCTGGAAATTTCCTACCACTTTTTTTCCCTCTCACACCCCACAATCTTTTTCCCTGCCATCCAGAAAGTTTCCCCCCTACCCTACCCCTACCTCCCCCCCTCTCCCACAGAACACATACCCTTTCCACATTTCTTTGACAGCTAGATATTCCATCTCCCATCTTTCCCTGCCACCCATAAATTTCCCTCTTTCTGGGGGTTTTTGTCTTTTTTTTTCCCCTAGCTTTTGACGTCCCCGCCAGACACCTCTATAGCTGTTCTTCCCTTATCTCTCTTGGTGCGCTCAAACTTTCCCCGCCATGTTCCTCCATCTTGTTAATTCCCGTCATATCCTTCGGCCTCTTTTGTAGGTCCCGATGGCCCCTCTTTTGCAGGTCCTGTTGGCCCCTCTTTTGTAGGTCCTGTTGGCCCCTCTTTTGTAGGTCCTGTAGGCCCCTCTTTTGTAGGTCCTGTTGACCGTCTTTTGTAGGTCCTGTTGGCCCCTCTTTTGTAGGTCCTGTTGGCCCCTCTTTTGTAGGTCCTGTTGGCCCTCTTTTGTAGGTCCTGTTGGCCCCTCTTTTGTAGGTCCTGTTGGCCCTCTTTTGTAGGTCCTGTTGGCCCCTCTTTTGTATGTCCTGTTGGCCCCTCTTTTGTAGGTCCCGTTGGCCCTCTTTTGTAGGTCCTGTTGGCCCCTCTTTTGTAGGTCCTGTTGGCCCCTCTTTTGTAGGTCCTGTTGGCCCCTCTTTTGTAGGTCCTGTTGGCCCCTCTTTTGTAGGTCCTGTTGGCCCCTCTTTTGTAGGTCCTGTTGGCCCCTCTTTTGTAGGTCCTGTTGGCCCTCTTTTGTAGGTCCCGTTGGCCCTCTTTTGTAGGTCCTGTTGGCCCCTCTTTTGTAGGTCCTGTTGGCCCCTCTTTTGTAGGTCCTGTTGGCCCTCTTTTGCAGGTCCTGTTGGCCCTCTTTTGTAGGTCCTGTTGGCCCTCTTTTGTAGGTCCTGTTGGCCCTCTTTTGCAGGTCCTGTTGACCCTCTTCTGTAGGTCCTGTTGGCCCTCTTTTGTAGGTCCTGTTGACCGTCTTTTGTAGGTCCTGTTGGCCCCTCTTTTGTAGGTCCTGTTGGCCCTCTTTTGTAGGTCCTGTTGGCCCCTCTTTTGTAGGTCCTGTTGGCCCCTCTTTTGTAGGTCCTGTTGGCCCCTCTTTTGTAGGTCCTGTTGGCCCCTCTTTTACATATCTCATTCTCCCCTTAATGCCTTTTTTTCCCCATTTCCCTAAGTGCAGCTTTTATCACCCCTTCCTTCACAATTTTCCATCACTTTTGTTGTCGCTCAGTTCTTCTCTCCCTCCTTTTCCTTTCCTATTCCATTCGTTCTTCCCAAGCCGCTCTCCTGATTGACGATTGGTGAAGATTAAGCCACCCAAGAGGTGGCACGGGCATGAATAACCCGTATTCCGCTTTCCCATATTGTTGGTGTTATAAGATTTAGTTACTTGGAACAAGTTCCAAGTAACTTGGAACAAGTAACAAGAACAAGTAAGTAAGTTCCAAGTAACGTGCTACTTGGAACAAGTTCCAAGTAGCACGGGCTATGGTGAACCCGTAACTTACCTGACGCAGGAGCGGGGCAAGTAGCACGGGCTATGGTGAACCCGTAACTTACCTGACGCAGGAGCGGGGCAAGTAGCACGGGCTATGGTGAGCCCGTAACTTACCTGACGCAGGAGCGGGGCAAGTAGCACGGGCTATGGTGAGCCCGTAACTTACCCGACAGCAGGAGCGGGGCAAGTAGCACGGGCTATGGTGAGCCCGTAACTTACCTGACGCAGGAGCGGGGCAAGTAGCACGGGCTATGGTGAGCCCGTAACTTACCTGACGCAGGAGCGGGGCAAGTAGCACGGGCTATGGTGAGCCCGTAACTTACCTGACGCAGGAGCGGGGCAAGTAGCACGGGCTATGGTGAGCCCGTAACTTACCTGACGCAGGAGCGGGGCAAGTAGCACGGGCTATGGTGAGCCCGTAACTTACCTGACGCAGGAGCGGGGCAAGTAGCACGGGCTATGGTGAGCCCGTAACTTACCTGACGCAGGAGCGGGGCAAGTAGCACGGGCTATGGTGAGCCCGTAACTTACCTGATGCAGGAGCGGGGCAAGTAGCACGGGCTATGGTGAGCCCGTAACTTACCTGGCACAGGAGCGGGGCAAGTAGCACGGGCTATGGTGAGCCCGTAACTTACCTGGCACAGGAGCGGGGCAAGTAGCACGGGCTATGGTGAGCCCGTAATACGCTCTTTCATCACCCATCTTGTACTTCCTCTCACCTGTCACTCCCTCGGCCCTTTTCCCTTCTCTTTCTCCGCTTCTCCCGTTTCTTATTTGTTTTCCTTTTCCTCAGGCCTTCCCATCATCTTTCGCCTTTTCATTCGTTCCCTCTCTTCCCTCTCACTCGTTCCCTCTCTTCCCTCTCACTCGTTCCCTCTCTTCCCTCTCACTCGTTCCCTCTCTTCCCTCTCACTCGTTCCCTCTCTTCCCTCTCACTCGTTCCCTCTCTTCCCTCTCACTCGTTCCCTCTCTTCCCTCTCACTCGTTCCCTCTCTTCCCTCTCACTCGTTCCCTCTCTTCCCTCTCACTCGTTCCCTCTCTTCCCTCTCACTCGTTCCCTCTCTTCCCTCTCACTCGTTCCCTCTCTTCCCTCTCACTCGTTCCCTCTCTTCCCTCTCACTCGTTCCCTCTCTTCCCTCTCACTCGTTCCCTCTCTTCCCTCTCACTCGTTCCCTCTCTTCCCTCTCACTCGTTCCCTCTCTTCCCTCTCACTCGTTCCCTCTCTTCCCTCTCACTCGTTCCCTCTCTTCCCTCTCACTCGTTCCCTCTCTTCCCTCTCACTCGTTCCCTCTCTTCCCTCTCACTCGTTCCCTCTCTTCCCTCTCACTCGTTCCCTCTCTTCCCTCTCACTCGTTCCCTCTCTTCCCTCTCACTCGTTCCCTCTCTTCCCTCTCACTCGTTCCCTCTCTTCCCTCTCACTCGTTCCCTCTCTTCCCTCTCACTCGTTCCCTCTCTTCCCTCTCACTCGTTCCCTCTCTTCCCTCTCACTCGTTCCCTCTCTTCCCTCTCACTCGTTCCCTCTCTTCCCTCTCACTCGTTCCCTCTCTTCCCTCTCACTCGTTCCCTCTCTTCCCTCTCACTCGTTCCCTCTCTTCCCTCTCACTCGTTCCCTCTCTTCCCTCTCACTCGTTCCCTCTCTTCCCTCTCACTCGTTCCCTCTCTTCCCTCTCACTCGTTCCCTCTCTTCCCTCTCACTCGTTCCCTCTCTTCCCTCTCACTCGTTCCCTCTCTTCCCTCTCACTCGTTCCCTCTCTTCCCTCTCACTCGTTCCCTCTCTTCCCTCTCACTCGTTCCCTCTCTTCCCTCTCACTCGTTCCCTCTCTTCCCTCTCACTCGTTCCCTCTCTTCCCTCTCACTCGTTCCCTCTCTTCCCTCTCACTCGTTCCCTCTCTTCCCTCTCACTCGTTCCCTCTCTTCCCTCTCACTCGTTCCCTCTCTTCCCTCTCACTCGTTCCCTCTCTTCCCTCTCACTCGTTCCCTCTCTTCCCTCTCACTCGTTCCCTCTCTTCCCTCTCACTCGTTCCCTCTCTTCCCTCTCACTCGTTCCCTCTCTTCCCTCTCACTCGTTCCCTCTCTTCCCTCTCACTCGTTCCCTCTCTTCCCTCTCACTCGTTTCCTCTCTTCCCTCTCACTCGTTTCCTCTCTTCCCTCTCACTCGTTCCCTCTCTTCCCTCTACCCCCTCCCCCCCGCTGTCATCCATCAACTCTCAACCACTTCATCCACCTGGACCTTTCACCTTCTCTCCCTATTCCTTGAGAATGCGTGATGACGGGAGAGATAATGATGTCGGCGGCTGGCGAATGTTCCCCCAGACTTGAGAATAGGGGGGAAAAGTTTTTCCCCTCCTCCCCCTCTCCCCACTCCCTAGAAGCCCCCTCTACCTGTCATCTAAACTTTCTTATTATTTGGATTCTCCTTTAGTCTTCTTCTTCTTCATCTTAAACTTTGCTATTTCCTTTTTTATTAACAATAGTGTGTTACTAAATAGTGGTCAACCCTGACAGGAAGTGAAACACACACACACAGGTGTTGATTGACGGTTGAGAGGCGGGACCAAAGAGCCAGAGCTCAACCCCAGCAGGCACAATTAGGTGAGTACACACACACACACACACACACACACACACACACACACACACACACACACACACACAGACAGTACCCAAATGTGGAAACTGAGTACCCACATGAGCCACAGGGACGTTAGAAAAAACTTTTTCAGTGTCAGAGTAGTTAGTAAATGGAATGCATTAGGCAGTGATGTGGTGGAGGCTGACTCCATACACAGTTTCAAGTGTAGATATGATAGAACCCAGTAGGCTCAGGAGCCTGTACACCAGTTGATTGACGGTTGAGAGGCGGGACCAAAGAGCCAGAGCTCAACCCCAGCAAGCATAACTAGGTGAAGCAACGTTTATGTAAATGAATAAGTTATCCAGTTGAACATTAGTTATTCAACTGAATAAGTAATCGTCTTAGTTTTAAATATAATTGAACCCAAAATAGGGGTTTGGGCAGCTCAGTGCTGGAGTTTGACCTTTGACATTACAGCAATAAAGTGTTGGCTAAAGTATTTTAATTAAGAGGTAAAGGTATGCCAGTAATGAGAAGGTAATCAAGTCCGTATTCTGTCAACACGGACGGAAGATTCGGACGCTTGGTCCGTCGATATGAGGTACGGCCTTACCTGTCCTCTCTCTGTCTCTCTGTATCTCAGTGCCGTCGATATGAGGTACGGACTTACCTGTCCTCTGTCTGTATCTCTCTCAGTGCCGTCGATATGAGGTACGGACTTACCTGTCCTCTCTCTGTCTGTATCTCTCAGTGCCGTCGATATGAGGTACGGACTTGCCTGTCCTCTCTCTGTCTGTCTGTATCTCTCTCTGTGCCGGCGATATGAGGTACGGACTTACCTGTCCTCTGTCTGTCTGTCTCTGGCTGTCTGTCTCAGTGAACCTCAGTATAGACAGAGAAAGTCAACATTATATATACAAACATATTAACATTAATACTGAACTTAAGAAGTCGCTATAAACCGTATTGTCAAGAACATGATCGAACACGTGTCCGAACACGTGTCCGAACACGTGTCCGAACACGTGTCCGAACACGAGTCCGAACACGAGACCGAACACGAGTCCGAACACGTATGTCTTAAAGATGATCACATTATAACGCTCTCAGTGTGCTCCCTGCCGGAACCTGTTGGGCTCACGACATCAGTCTTCCATATTGTGAGCCTGGCCTGGGTGCTAGGATGAGGATCTCGGACTTCTCAGGTCCGGGTTCGAATCAAAGTGAATGAAATGTATGAAAGTAGAGTTTAATATACTAATCAATGAAATACTTAACCCACTGTTTAGAAAACACTTGGGACATGTAGACTGGGTATTTCCGTCCCAAGTCTGAGGCCTCTTCAGTGGTGTGAGAGAGGAGGAGGGATTTCTCAGGGGAAAGCGCCAAGCCATTACAACTATATAGCCCTTGGAAGGGGTCAGGATAAGGATTTGAGATGGGACGGGGGGGGGGGGAAGGGAATGGTGGCCACAACCACTTGGACAGTCGGGGATTGAACGCCGACCTGCATGATGCGAGACCGTTGCTCTACCGTCCATCTCAAGAGTCAGGAGTCTTAGCAGTGATAAGCATCAGGTTATAACTAATTCCGTCCTCCTAAGGATTCCTCAACGTCAAGGAACTATCATACTAAAGTGCCCTAATCCTAACCTGCCAGAGGACCCAAAACAGAAAACGGGACATTATGTCAACTTCGCCAGCCATTACTATTTTCTAGTACGACAATATACGTCAAAATACGACGGTCTATTAGGACAGTTTGTGTAACCTGGTTATTTACATAACCACTATTATGTAACAAGCGTTATACACGATTATATATATTACGGGCTATTCATGCCCGTGCCACCTCTTGGGGGGTTAATCCTTATGAATCATCATTATATGCATTATATATTATTATACGGTCGGCCGAGCGGACAGCACACTGGACTTGTGATCCTGTGGTTCGGGTTCGATCCCGGGCGCCGGTGAGAAACAATAGGCAGAGTTTCTTTCACCCCTATGTCCCTGTTACCTAGCAGTAAAATAGGTACCTGGGTGTTAGTCAGCTGTCACGGGC